TTGCATACCACAAAAATCCCAGAAAATACATTCATGTATAATTATTCCTATGCCTACTCTTACTCTTAGCCAACATTGTCAGCCACCTGTATCTGGAGGCATGGAATACTCACATATGAATATAGAAAAGAAGAGAGGAAAATAATATTCCCCATGTCCCTTTAGTATAATTAAAAGCAGAAGCCAGCCAAGCCCAACAAGTAGAAAACAACAACAAAACTTTATTTATATACCGCTCTATCTCCCCAAGGGGACTCAGAGTGGTTTCCAAGTGACATAATCAATACATACAAAGAGAACAGCATGAACATAAAATTAACAAGACAAAATAAGCATTAAAAACCACAATAGCACATATATTTAAAATAATCCTGCCTGTTCAAGGCAGTTTAAAAGGCCGGGCCAGGCTAGTGCGATTTTAGAGGGCCCAGGAAATTAGGTAGAGTCTATGGCTGTACATTTCCAGGGCCTAATAGAAGAAAGTGACCTGGGTAATTGGTAGAAAAAGATATGGCCAATTTCTACAGTATCTGGGGCAGAGCTAGAACTAGTCGTTCTCAAAGGTTTGTTTAAACCACCAGGTCTTCAGGCTCTTACGAACGGAGGGGAGGGATGGAGCCTGTCTTATTTCTAGGAAAACATCCTATTTCCCCAAATGTTCCGTTTGTATTTCATATCTGTAGCTTCTTGTTAAACCAAAGAATACACTTCCATCAAGAAACATTTATGCTTTAAAATGAAGGCGATGTCAATTCTGTTAAACTGATAACAATTTGTTGACTTTATCATGTAAACAAAGCAGATGTCCACTGGCCCGGTATTTGAGAATCTGTTCCAAAGGGTTATGTCCTTCCAAGCCTAGAGTGGCTCTTTTGGCAATGATTCACAATTCATTGTATGATAAACTTTTCACAAACAAAAAAAAAACTGGAGGAGGAAAGTACACTCTCCAAAACAGGTACCCAAAGGGTTTCCAACACAAAATTGAAAGGCATTTGTTTTCACTAGAAGAAAATGTGGTTCCATCTGGGTAAGATATTTTCGCCTATGGTTGTCTTGATAGCTTATCTACTATCATGTCAGGATACAGCTGCAGCACACAGTAAGCTAACAGGATTGCCTTCGCAGAGGTAAGTCTATCTCCATGTAATTTAAGATACCGCCTTACATATAGAAATTGCTGTCTATCTGCTCAGTGCATCAATTCAGACTTGAGAATGAGGCATATGGGTACTATTACCTTTAAGCAGCTAGCAGAAAATGATTTATACAATGGCCCCATCCCAACACAATGATAGTGCTGTACCTCAACACAGTTTTGCAGCCTTGTAATTATACTATTTTGATTAAATGTTCTCTTGCACTATTTTACCTCCAAAAATCCATTTATCACTTCTCACCTTTTATATCATTTTATATTTAACTGTTACCCAAGTTGTTTAAACGTACAATGAGTTGATGTTCCTTATTATTTTTGTGATAATGGAATCAGGGAGAACAAAGTAACAATAAAATAAGATACAGTTTCTAATTTTTTGCAGCTTTGATTTTCAATACCTTATTGGCTCAAATTTTACACTAACACAGCAAGAGAAAGACTGAGCAAGAGAGAAAGAATTTAAAAGAAACTTCTATTGAGCCTTTCACCAGCCACTAATTACAAACTTGTCCAAAGGAAATATAATGTGAAAAGATCAAAACACGGTATCAGTAATAATTGGCATATGAGGCAGGGAGAGGCGGCAGAGGGAAGAAAAGATACATTTAATTATGGAGGCTTATTCTAGTAATCCTCGCTGAAACTAAATAATGAACGGATTTTTTGATGTTTGATGAAGTTATCAAACAAAGCAGGATAATGAAGAGGCAAATTTAAAAACTAGGTGAAGGTGAAATTATTGAATACTTTTTGGAAAGCTGAAGGATATTGACACCACATCTTTCTTCCACCAGGAACAGATAAAAAATATTTGGGGGCCTCTGACTGTTGGATTCTGATGTTTGTCTATAGAGACACTATGATTTGATCTAGTGAACATTGATGTGTATCCACAGAATCCTCTCTTGAGCATTTGAGCCTTTCATTTAGCACTCTTTCTTCTGCAGCTTTGGATGAATTCATCTCTCTTCTAATTATCAGTAGTTTTCGCATCCTCCCACCCAATTGCACAGTCTCTTAAGAAAAACTGTCGGTTTGTCATCTGACAGAATGGGCTATCTCCTTTGAAGGCTCATGCCACCATATATTTGTTGGTCTTTAAGGTGCCACAGGAGTCTTTGTTGTTTTCATTCCGCTTGTCAGCCAGCCATCTTCACTGATAGTTGTTAAGTGACAATGACAGAGCTTGCTAAGAGCTCTTGGTGAGAAATGCGACAATAACAAAGATTTCTGAGGCGACCACTTCCTCTTTTCCCATCAACAAATTATTCAGCTGGATGTGTTTTATTATAGAATATGTCGGATACAAATCTTAGTTATGCCTCTCAGTGGGAAAAGATATATTTTGCTGTATTCATTTTCCATGCTCCTTTTAGTTCCTGTCTGATTTTGGAAGCTAAACAGGGGCTGGCCCTAGTTAGTACTTGAATGGGAGGCTGCAATAAATACTAACTAGGTGCTGTGGACCGTATTTCAGAGGAAGGACCTGACAAAACCATATTGGTGTCTTTTTGCTTTAAACAGCCTTATGAAATTCATGGGGTCATCATAAACTGACAGGCAATTTGAGAGCATTTTTATCCACAATGGGTGCATTTACATTGTAGAATCAATGCAGTTTGATACCACTTTAACTA